ATACAATCAAGATAACGCAAAGTTGTATTATCATCATTTGCCAAGTAACCCATTGTATATGCTTGATCAAGATCTTGACGAAATATTTGCATTGATGGAAAATCAAACAAAGCATGATGAAAATTAAAGATTAGTGCATCTTTTTCACAAATGATTCCTTTTTGAGAAATGTTTTTATAATAAACAACATGACATCGACAAACAACACCAGTTAATAGATTAAAATTATTTGGATTCCCACGTTCATTATGCATAATTTTATTGAGATCTTCATCTGTTTCGAAAGTACCTTCAATAAATGTAAATAATTCTTTATTATCAGTATGATCAATAATCTTTTGCATTATTATATTTTTATTTGTATCGAAATAGAGTGATGTACGAAGAGCAGAATGTTTTATAAGAACATGTTGTAAAGCTTGACGAAGTTTAGATACTGATAGAGTACCACCTGATGAAAGTCGATGAAGAAAAGGCATATTATTTATGGCAACTTGTGAATTTTTTGAATCAAAACGAATTCGTTCATCAAGCCAAATACGTGCTTGAGCATATGATGCTGGTGCTATATAATAATAAGAACAATAAAAAGATGAATATACTTAATTTTGATGGAAATGGGTAAGGATGTAGGTGTGAATTCGGTATACGTATATTTCTATCGTTTAATAATTTTCTCAAAGACATTAAAGACATATATATATATATATATATACCTTCATTCATAATATCTGGTTGTCGACAAAAAACTATTTGTTCCATTTCATAAACTTCTTCTGGTAAAACAAGACTAAGTTTAGTAATAGGTGAAACAAGAATATCAGTTTGATTAATATTAGAATCCATTGAAAATAGTTGTTCAATAACATATTGAAATCGTCGAGCAATTTTTGTAACTGTCATATCTTCGAATAGATCATGTGAACAAACAAAACGACATGATAACATCTCATCATTTAACATTGGATTGTAAACAAATGTTAACATAAAATCAAATTTAGCAATTTCGGTGGATTGTTTTAATTCAATTGGTTTTAAATCGACATCATCGAAAGATAATTGATCAATATCAGGAGATTGAGTAATAAAATCAAATACTGTTTGAAGAAAAGCAACATTAGATTGATTAGCATGAATATCAGTTAGAATATTTTGTAATGGATAATGAGAATGTTCAAGAATTGATATACATTTATCTTGTATTTGTTTAACAAGTTCATTAAATGACCAAGTAGAATCAAGTTTCATACGATATGGTAATGTTGAAATAAACATTCCCATCATATTTTGTAATTCAGTTTTATATCGATTTGCATTATGACAAGAAATACATAAATCATTTTGATCTTGAGTTAATTTAAATAGGAAAATATAAAATAATGCCATACCTAATTGAAATGGAGTAGTTTGATGTGTAGAAACATAATTAAGAAATGATTTTGAAATATTTTTATCAAAAGAAATCTGAGCAATTGAAGCAAAACCAGATCGTTGATCGTTAGATAAACAATGTTGATCAGTCGATAATGATAATCGATGTTCAAAATCATAGTCTTTCAATTCTAGAAGCCAAAAATCACGTGATGGTGTCATATCAATTAAACGTTCATGAACAGCATAATCAATATATTGTAATAAGTCTTCATCTTCTGTCCATTCTGTGTGTGTATTATAAGCAAAACAAAGATCATTTAGAAAAAGTTGATAAGCTGATCGATCTGTTGCACCATGATGAAATGCTATAAGAAGAATATCAGAATCTGTAATGAATCTATTATCACTATTAGATATGAGTTCTTGTCGAAGTACTTCACAATGAAAAACACGACCAGTGGATAAATCAAATAAATTAGGATTAATAATTGTTTGACAGAGAATATCTTGAAGTTCATTTTCATTTTTAAATGTTTGATTGGGAACAAGTTGAAATATACGATGTTTATTATCAATATGTTGTTCAAGAACACCATTATCATTGTTAAAACTAATAACTGTACGTAATATTTTATGTTTATTTAAAATATATTTAATAGCTTCGAATAGACGATCTATTGATATTGAATCTTGAATAATTTTTAAAGCAGTCAATTCATTGTAGATAGCAATTTTGTTAGAAAAACGCATTTGTTCATCAAGAAAAATACGTTCTTGAGCAAAAGATGCAATACCTTGATTGATATGTAGTGTATGCCAATGTTCTGATTTCATTTGATTGATTGTAATAGATTGAAGTAATTGTGAATGTTGAAGAATAGTTGGTCGTTGAATAAATAAGGCAATAGAAAGTACACGATTATCAAAATCATATAATTGTTGATATCGATGATAAAGTTCAATAAATAAAAGTGAATGACCACCAATACTAGTCGAGGATGGCATAGTGGTCTATGCGTCTGACTGTTAAGTCAGATATCAGAAGGTTCGATACCTTCCCTTGGCTCGTCGGGTGATGGTGATGATCGAAGAATGGAAGGAAGAAGAAATATACAGTTCGTACGAAGAATAAACAAAGAATCACGTGGACATGGTTATATACGACCTCGCCAGTTTGTTTGTTTTCTCCTCTTTGTAACTCCTTTCTTCACTGTGTTATCATCATTGTCTTTTCGTAAGCGTCCTCTAAAATTGTACTTGTACTAACAAAAATGACAAAAATATCCTGGACGGAACGAAATAAATACCGCATAATCAAAAAAAAAAAAAAAAAAAAAAATGACCACCAATACTAAAGAAATTTGCAGTTGTTGAAATTTGTTGTCCAGTACATCGAAGAATTTCATACCAAATATTATGTATCTGTTTTTGGAATTGATTTTGTGGAAGATTAGATCTGTTTTCTAATCCTGTTGTTGATGATGATGATGAGAGAGTCAATAATGATAAATCCGGTGGTGGAAGACGTTTTCGATCTACTTTTCCATTTGGGCTCATAGGTAGTTTTTCAAGTATAATAAATATTGATGGAATCATATGTGATGGTAGATTAGATTGACAATAATGACGTAATTGTTCAACATTAATGCTATCACTTTGAACATAAGCAATAAGATGATTTTCATCCCATTTGATAACAACACATGCAGTAATGGATGTTAACATAAGTAAGCATTGTATAATTTCTTGTAATTCAATACGTTGTCCACGTAATTTCACTTGAAAATCTCTCCGACCAACATAATGAATCAGTCCATTGCTATCCATTTGAACAAGATCACCTGTTTTATAAAATATTTGTTCATTAATATTAATCATTACTTGAGCTGTTAAATCATCACGACCACGATATCCAGCAAAAACACCAACACCTCCAACAACTAATTCTCCTTCTTGTCCAATACCAACAGTTTGTAAGAACATGTCTAATATTAAAAAATGATAATTGGGAAGAGATTGACCTATTGGAATATCTGTTTGATCTTTATTTAGATCAATTAGATGATTGGTACAGTTAATAGTAATTTCAGCTGGACCATAATGATTTCGAATTCGACATTCACTTCTCACTTGACTTCTCAATAGATTAACTAGTTTATTGTTGAGAACTTCACCTATGATAGAATAAGTCAAAAAGAATATGATAATAATATAACATAATAATTCTAAAATAACAATGACTAACCACCACTACATACAGTTCGTAACCATTGTACTGACGATTTTCGATTAGTAGTATGGAGAAAATTAAATAGACTATTCCATAAAGATGGAACAGCTTGCATAACAGTAATCTGTTTTTCATTCAATACTCCTGAAAGATAATCTAAATCCATATGACCTTCTGGTCGAAGCATTATTAATGTAGCTCCAATAGTTAATGTACCCACAAGACTTAATAGATGATTATCAAAAGAGCATCGAGCCATCTGTATTATTGTATCAGTTTTTGTTAATATATTAGCATAAACGAATAAGCGTAAAAATTGAGTGAAATTTCGACGACGTAGTTGAAACTAATAAAACATGAATACATTAAAAAATACAAATAGTCAAAAAAAAATTATACAAACCGCTTTCGGAATACCAGTTGATCCACTAGTAAAAATTACAAAGAGAATATTTTCTGATGTTATTGGTACATCTGACATTTGAGTCAGATGAATACTAGTAGAATTTTCTTCATGATTTATAATTGTATCAATATTTAAAGTTACAATATCGATTTCAAAAAGAATGCGTGTAGACGAATGAACAAGAACTAAATGACTTTGAGTTTCTTTCACAAGAACTTGTAGACGTTGTGAAGGATCTTGTGATGATAAAGGACAATAGGCACCACCAACCATAATAATTGATAAAATGCCAATGACCTAAAGAGAAATAAAGGATATATTATACACATATTATTGCAAACCATATTTTCCAAATATATTTACCATAGATAAACTTCGCTCTACACATTGACAAATAATATCACCCGATTTCACATTGTATTTATTCAATAAGACGAGAGAAAGTTGTTGAACATAATATAAAAGTTCTGTATATGTTAATGATTGTTCATTAAGTTCAACAGCTATTTTTTGTGGATGTTGTATTACTTGATAAATAAATTCATGATGCATACAAGTGGCAGAAGGAAACAATACTTGTGTATTGTTCATTGATTGTATAAGTAATCTTTCATTTGATAACATTATTGACATTTCATAGATTGATTTATTTTTCATTATATCATTAACAGATGTAAACAAATCATATAATATTGAATGAAATTGGTGTGAAATCTTATTTATTGTCTCTTGATTGAATAAATCGAGTGATGCATTAATTATACATGAAAATTGATTTATGGTAAGATCATATTGAATAGTAAGAATGAAATCAAACTTGCTCACATCTTCATCTTCATTGATTGTAATTGATAATGGAATACTACAAAGCTCACTATCACCAATCATTATTTTCTTTTCAATAGTCACAAAATCAAAAGACACATCAAGAAATGTAGGCTTTGAACTATCAGAATGTTGTGCAAGAATATGTTGAAGAGGAAAATATGAATATTTCATACAATTTGTTGTCATTTCTTGAACATATCCAATTATTGATTTAAATTCATCTTTATATCGAGTATGTGTATTCATTCCAATACATATATCTCATTCTCCATTAGTTAACTTAAATAAGAACATATAATAAGCGGCAAGTGCTAGATGTTGAAGTTCTATATTGTTTGTTAATGCATAGTTAAGAAAATCATATGAAAGATCTTGACCAAAATCAAATGAGATTGGTGTTTCACGATCACTTCGATGTTCATTCAAAAGACGATATCGATCATATGGTAATGATAAAGATCGATCAAGATTAGAATCAAGAAGAGTATCAAGCCAAAACATACTTGCACTAGTCATTGGCATTTGTTGTTCAATAAGAGCATCTAAATAATAAATAGAAAAGACATGAGATCTATTAACAAAGACAAGTATGAGAAATACATACAATCAAGATAACGTAGATCAGTATTGTGATTGATAGGTAGTTGATTTGTTGCATATGCTTGATTGAGATCATGAAGAAATATTTTCATGGATGGGAAATCAAATAAAACATGATGAAAATTGAAAATAATTCTATCTTTATCACAAAGAAGATTATTTAAAGAAATTTGTTTATAATAGAGAATGTGACATCGAAAGACAAGACCTTGATCAAGATGAAAAAGTTGAGAGTTGTATTTTTCATCATACATAATTTTATTGAGATCTTCATCTGTTTTGAAAGTACTTTCAATAAATGTAAATAGTTTTCTAGTATGATCAATGATATCAATAATTCGTTGTATAAGTTTATTTGTTTCATTATCGAAAATAATTGATGTTCGAAGTGATTGATGTTTTGTAAGAATGAGTTGAAGTGCATGATGAAGTTGTGTAGTTGATAATGTATGTTGTGAATGAAGACGATAGAGAAAAAGCATATTATATATTGCAACTTGTTGTTTATCTCGATCGAATCGAATTCGTTCATCAAACCAAATACGAGATTGTGCATAAGAAGCTGGTCCTTAACAGAACAAAGACTATATAAGATAGAAGTCTATACAAATAATCATACCTTCATTCTTAATATTAGGTAATCGATGAAAGATTGTTTGTTGTATTTCTTTAGGTTCATTCTCCAAACAAAATGATAATTTCGATATTGGTTGATTAACTAAATCAAATGAAGATGGATGTTTAACAAACAATTGTGAAAGAAGATGTTGAAATTGTTTTGATAGTTCTTCTACTGTTTCGCTATCAAATACATCTTGTGAACAGATTAGAGAACATGATATTGTTTGATTTTGAACTGTTGGGTCATGAAAAAATAATAGTTTCATATCAAATTTAACAACATTTTGCATTTGTTTCAAGGGTACTGGTTGAAATTGTGTTTGATTTACAGATAGAAGATCAGTATCAGATGAATAAGTAATGAAATCAAATAATATATAGAGAAAAGCAGCAGATGAATGTTTATAATCTAAATCTTGAAGTATTTGTTGAAGAGGATAATGTGTATGTTCAAGAATTAAATAAAATTCATTTTGAACTCGTTTGATAAGATGATTGAATGGATAAGTAGGATGAATCTAAATTCGATGTGGTAATGTTGCAACAAACATGCCAATTAGATTTTGTAATTCTGTTCTATATCGATTAGCATGAATACATGAAATGCATAGATCATTTTGATTCTGACTTAATTTATATAAAAATGTATAAAATATGGTAAGACCTAATTGAAATGGTGTAATATCTTGTGAAGAAGCATAATCAAGAAATGAATGTATTAAATCATTATCAAATGGAATATCAATAAGATGAGCAAAACCTGAATGTTGATCAGTTAATAAACGATGTCGATCAAAAGGTAACATAATACGACGTTCTAAATTCAATCCATAAAGATGTGATTGCCAGAAATGACAAGATGATATTATATCCATTTGTTTTTCATAAACTGAATAATCAATGTATTGAAATTGATTTTCATTATTTAATAATGTACTATCATTTTCTAAATTATACTTAAGATCACTAAAAAATATTCGTCGAGAAGCACCATCAAATGCAATGTGATGGAGCTTAAAAATAATAATATCATTGTTTTCTAAACATATTTCTTCATCTTTTCTCGTTGAATTATATTTAATTATGTGACATCGTAATACAATGCCTCGATTACGATCAAATAATTTTGAACTTGTAATTTCTCTATTAATTATTTTTGTTATTTCTTCATCATTTTCAACATAACTAATGACAAATTCATATTGATTTCTATAATTAAATTGTTGAATATATTGAAC